CTCTCACACAGTAAAGAGGCTAAAGATATAGGAGAACCTAGCAACAAAAATTGCATTGCTATTTTTTAGGAATTAAAAAAATACATCTTTCAGGGTAGTGATAAGGCACAGTGAACATTTTTTAGATGTTTCCTAAAACATGGCAAATCTTTCTAAAGCTATATGGAATGCACTGGTATAATTTTCAGTGTATCCACTGTAAATCAGAAACAACACAGGTAAGGTATAAATCAACCATATAGCCATATAAGCCAATGGAACTACGTAGGTTGTAGTGAGAGTGGTCAAAAAGAGGTGTCACTGAATTATCATAGGTAATGGAACAAAGAGACAGGCAGTAGAGGAAGAGGGCATGGGGAGGGGTGAGCAAATAGAATAAAAATAGATAAGTGTGGGCAATAGGTAGGGGTTGGGGATGAATAGAGGATGTTACTTTTTAGGACACAGCTAAGTATTTTCATTGAAAGCTACAGTTTCAGGATATATACACTTTGGGGTTGTTACTAAAACTGAATAGTGCACATTCTGGTGCAGCTGTTCATGGCAGCCAATCAGCTTCTAACTTCAGCTTGTTCAATTAAGCTTTGACAAAAAAATGGAGTTGATTGGTTTCTATGCAGAGCTGCACCAGATTTTGCACTCTCCAGTTTTAGAAAATCAACATATATATACAATATATTGGCAAAAGTTGGGACACCTTAGTCCATAGGGTTCAATATTGAGTTTTCCCACCCATTTCAGCTATAACAGCTTCAACTCTTCTGGGAAGGTCGTCCACAAGGTTTAGAAGGGTGTCTATGGGAATGTTTGACCATTCTTCTAGAAGCGCATTTGTGAGGTCAAGCACTGATGTTGGATAATAAGGCCTGGCTCGCAGTCTCCACTCTAATTCATCCCAAAGGTGTTCTATCGGGTGAGGTCAGGACTCTGTGCAGACTAGTCAAGTTCATCCACCCCAAACTCACTCATCCACGTCTTTATGGACCTTGTTTTGTGCACTGGTGTGCAGTCATGTTGGAACAAGAAGGGACCATCCCCAAACTGTTCCCACAAAGTTAGGAGCATGAAATTGTCCAAAATGTATTGGTATGCTGATGCCTTAGGATTTCCCTTCACTGGAACTAAGAGGCCAAACCCAACCCCTGAAAAACAACCCCACACCATAATCCACCCGCCACCAAACTTTACACTTGGCCCAATGCAGTCAGGCAAGTCCTGGCAACTCACAAACCCAGACACACCCTTCAGATTGCCAGACAAGCATGATTTGTCACTTGAGACCACGTCTCTACTGCTCTAGAGTCCAAAGGCGGCGTGCTTTACACTTCTGCATGGCTGAGTTGCTGTTGTTCCCAATTGCTTCCACTTTATTATAATACCACTAACAGTTGAGCGTGGAATATTTAGTAGCCAGGAAATGTCACTGATGGACTTATTGCACAGGTGGCAACCTATCACGGTACCACGCTGAAATTCACTGAGCTCCTGAGAGCGACCCATTCTTTCACAAATGTTTGTAGAAGCAGTCTGCATGCCTAGGTGATGATTGTATACACCTGTGTCCATGGAGGGGATTGGAACACCTGAATCCAATGATTTGGAGGGCTGGCCCAATACTTTTGGTGGCAATATAGTGTGTGTGTGTGTGTGTATGTATTTGTGGTAAATTTAAAATGGGAAACCGCTTATGTATTCCAAGCACCATCCAGCTTACAATTAAATTGTTTGAAGTGAGGTTCAAAGTGTTATCAAATAAAAGACACTACAAGTGACGCATTAAAAATTCAAGATAAGGCAGTCTATGTGCTGAGCCGCTATCACTTTATCGAACTTGCAGCATGTTGCTTCATTAGAAAGGCACAGCAGAAATTCAAATCCTGCAGCTCGCTTTATGATTAAAATCTGTGTGAAAAATTCATGTGAATAGAAAATGCTGTTGTCTTTTTTTTTTTTTTTTTCTTCTTCCTTTGGCAAAACAAAGGCAGAATTAAAACAATAAATTGTTGTGACATCACTTGTCAGCATTAATCAGAGAGAAAATTTACAGCATCACTTGAAAAGCCTCTGTTGTGTATGTGGCTCAGTAATTAGGTTTAATAAAACAAACAATGTTGAAATCAAATGTAAATCAGGAACTTCAATGGTTTCCTAAATGGATTCAAGTGTTAATAATGTTACCATTAAATATTTACAGAGCTTCAAAGCTGCGTTAAACCTCATTCACACGTGCTCCAAAAGTCGGTTTTGGTGCACCCCCCAAGCTCTGCATCAAAAATGGTACATTATGCTCAGTGCATGCAGGAAGCTGAATTATTTGCTATGCTTCTCTTTACCATATGTCAAATAAATGAGTCTTACTGTGATCATTGCCTAACACTGCATATCCATAGATTAACCGCTTACGCGCCGCCCTATAGAAGAAATACCGCTACATGGTGGCACAGGTGCGCAAAATCACGTATATATATTTGTGATTTTGAAGTTCTGGGTTCGCCCTACCTGTGCCGCCATTCAAGGCCTCTACTGTCAATCACTGGGTCCCAGCCAGTGATTCCTCGCCAGCACCCGGTGATCACCGAATATCTCTGACGGGGGAGAGGCCTGTGTATAAACAACACAGATTTCTCCCCTGTCAACTCCCACACACTGCTTTGTATGGCTCTGCATAGCAGAGCCATACAAAGCAGTGCTTACAGTGGAAAGCACACAGTTAACCCTTTGATCGTTCTACATGTTAACCCCTTCCTGCCCAGTGCCATTGGTACAGTGTCAGTGCTTTTTATTAGCACTGATCACTGTATTGGTGGCACTGGGGATGTCAGTGACACTAAGGTCAGTTAACCCCAGTGTCAAAATGCCCACCGCAGTACCTCTATAAGTCGCTGATCACCGCCATTACTAGTAAAAAAAATTGAAATCCCAGTATATATTCCGCCATTTGTAAACACTATAACTTTCACTTAAACCAATTCATTTACACGTACTGGGATTTTTCTTTTTAGCAAAGACATGGAGCAGAATACATTTTGGCCTAAATTTTACAAAATTTGATTTTTTTAAAATTTTTTATTGGACATGTTTAATAGCAAAAAGTCAAATATTGTTTTTTTTCTCAAAAATGTTGGACTTTTTTTTTGTTTATAGCACAAAAAATAAATAATGCACAGGCAATTAAATACCAATGAAAGAAAGCTCTATATGTGGCAAAAATGGATACAAATTTAATTTGGGTTCAGTGTTGCATGACCGTGCAGTTGTCAGAAAGTAATGCAGCACCGTATCCCAAAAAATGGCCTTGTCAGGAAAGGGGGGGTAAATCCTCTGGAAGGCAAGTGCTTAATATTGATTTACTTATTTGGCTCCCCTGCTAGCAAAGGTGTAGGAGCCCTAAGACTTAGTGGAAATTGATGTTCCACTTATCTGACTAACTCACAGGAAGCTGTTAATGCAACACTAAACAAAAGAGAGTGAAGCTAAAGTGGGGCACACAGCTGATCCGCCTAATTAATCAGAACAAAGTGTACTGGTGTCAGGGGATCCCCCAAGGAAATCAGTAGGAGGAAACCAGGCTCAAGACACTGAAAAGGTCCTTAACCCCTTTCCATTAATCCCTCCTGGCCCTTTAAGATGATTTAAGTCGTTCCCCCTTCCTGTCCAGTGTCATTAGTACAGTGTCAGTGCTTTTTATTAGCACTGATCACTGTATTAGTGTCACTGGAGATGTCAGTGGCAGTTAGTGTTAGAATGCCTGCCGTACTATCGCAGTTCCACTATGTCGCTGATCGCCGCCATTACTAGTATAAACAAATCCTGTGTGTGTGTGTATGTGTGTGTATGTATGTATGTATGTATGTATGTGTATGTGTATATATATATATTCGACATTTGTAGACGCTATGACAAACCAATCAATATATACTTATTGTTTTGTTTTTTACCAAAGACATTTAGCAGAATACACTTTGGCCTAAATTTATAAAGATTTTATTGGATATGTTTTATAGCAAAAAGTCAAATATACATATTCTCACATTTTTTGCTCTTTCATTTATAAAAAAAAAATTAAAAAAACCCAGCAATGATCAAATACCACCAAAAGAAAACTCTATTTGTGTGAAAAAAATTATATAAATTTCATTTGTGTATAGTGTTGCATGACCGCACAATTGTCAGTTAAAGTAGTGCAGTAGCAAAAAATAACCTTGTTATGAGGGGAGGGGGGGGGGTAAATGTTCTGGAGGGCAAGTGGTTAAAGTCACTTTTTTTTCTGTGAAAAAAGCAAGTTTGCCAAGCACAAAGCAAGAGTAATCCTTACAAGCCATGGAAGGGTAAGCCATTGAGCAAAGGTGAGCGCTTACAAGCATTAGACATAGGGAGAAGTAGAATGGTTTTGGTGCAGAAATGTTCTCCAAAATGACACTCTATTGTTTTGCAATCATCGTTACACCCCAATCCACCTCGAGAAACCAAGTGAAATTTGATGGTAAGAATGGGGCACTTTGCCATAGTGATTTAATAGATTTAAAGTGTTAAAAAACCCACAACTGTAAAATCAGTCTGTATATGCAGTCAATCATGCTTGTTATACTCACTGTGGAACCTAAGGGGTTAATCCTCTGCATTGTGTAAAAAGGCTGTTTTGATCCTGTCTTCTTTGATTTCCCCCCCTTCTACTACTATCCATCTGCTGATAGAAGAGAGCCTTGGGGGCAAGCTGCACATGCTCACTTTGGTGTGTATTGCTAGGGTTTTTTTTTTTCTCCTTGGAAGAGTGCCTCTGTTTAGCACTGGGCCAATCAGCACTGTCCAGACAGAGGGTCAGGAGATATACAGCCTCATAGGACAATCAGGGGAGAATGAAAACTCCCCCTACAAGCTTTAACCAGTGCTTAGCTGGACACTGATAAAAGGCAAAATACTGATGTATACTGCTGATGAGAAAGTATTTAGCAGTTTATATTTTCTAAAATAATTGCATTTCCATGATGTGTTTACTGTGGGAGATCAGATATAGCGAATGCAGGGTCCGGGGAGACCGGATATAGTGAATGCAGGGTCCGGGGAGACCGGATATAGTGAATGCAGGGTCCGGGGAGACCGGATATAGTGAATGCAGGGTCAGAGACCGGATATAGTGAATGCAGGGTCCGGGGAGACCAGATATAGTGAATGCAGGGTCTGGGGAGACCAGATATAGCAAATGCAGGGTCCAGGGTTTAGTAACACTTTAAGAGCAGCACACTTTGAGCAGTGGGTTAAAAATGTGGGGATAATAGCAGTGTGGTTTAATAGCAACAGATCTGCCTGGAATTCAATTATAATATCATGGTTCTCCAAAAAGACAATGCTGATTTGACAACTATGTATACTCTCCAGGGCTCCAGGAAATCAATGCCAAAGGAAGGCCAGGGGAACCAGAACAAAAAGAAGCCTATGGATAGCATTTCAGAGATGCTGCCCTCCTGCACAGATGGGGAAATCAACAACTAGAAAAAAGCCTACAGGTAGTGCAAACACCTAGTGCATTATCCAAGGTTTATTTAGAATGAATAAAGGATAAAATCATACAAACATAGCATGTATGTAAAGCTTGTAAGACCATGGAGATAGCCACACTAATGGCAGAGTGTCCTACTGACAGTGCGGTTGGCTTGCTCAAATACTAAATGCTGGTTTGACAATACAAAGGTGAAAATGACAATTCTGACAATACTTGGACCACAAATAGATCATTGTTACAACACGTGGACTATAAACAGGCAGTCATAGCAATATGTGTCCAATAAATGAGCAAAACTGACCAGTATATGGACAGAAATGGGCAATTGTTATAGTAAGCAGGCAATAATTAGATAATCCTGAAAATACATGGACAAGAAACCAAGACTTGTAAAAAGACAAACGGCAACAAACAAGAAATCATTATGATGCATGTACAACAAATAGGTCATTGTAACAATACATGGTTAACTAAAAGTGCAATCATGACAATTCTTAAACAAAAAAACAAGAAATTGTGACAATAAGTAGACACCAAATGGACAGTTGTTACAATATGCAGGCAACAAACTGACTAGACAATCACTGAAACAAGTGGGCAGCAAAGGGCAATAGTTACAATACGCCAGGCTCACTAATCTATCTAATGTCATGTTCCCAGATAATAAGAGGGAATTCTTTTGCATGAAACAGGTCTAGGATAGTGGAAATAATCTTCCCTAGCCCCCAAGTGGCACATAGACCTGGATTCACCCTTAAAAACCACCTTACCATGACACATTTTGGGGAAATTCCACATTTTCATCAAAATGACAATTTTCACCATCTGCTGAATTGAGTATATACACTTTTACATATATTTTATTTATTACAGGTACTTATATAGAGCCACCAATTTACGCAACACTTTACATTATATATATATATATATATATATATATATATATATATATATATATATATATATTGCACATTCACATCAGTCCCTAAACCTCAAGGAGTGTACAATCTCTAAGGTCCCTAACTTACATTCATACATACACATACTAGGGACAATTTAGACAGGATCCATTTAACCTACCAGCATGTCTTTGGAGCGTGAGGAGACAACAATACATGGAGGAAAACCACGAAGGAACAGGGAGAACAAACTCCAGGCAAGTGGTGTCATGGTTGGGATTCGAACCAATGACCCTAGTACTGCCAGGTGGAAGTGCTACCCATGTAGCCTGTGAAGATGTGCACTAATTTGTATCTAAAGCTAAAACTTTTTGCTCAGGTTTTGAATAGAGTGGGAACGTGTTAGAACTCCTGTTTGGTTTTTAATGGTGCTGGTGTCCCCACTGTGGAGGAAAAGGGGTCCAACTGATCATTGTCTCTAGTACAATAAAATATGGGAAATTCCATAAGCAATTTAGGTTTGTCACAGAAAAAGGAAATGAGACAAAAATGATATTTGCACAGGCAACAACTCTTTAAGAAGGGTTTTCCCTTCTAGTTGTGTCTCTGGAACAGGAAATTAAGGGAAATCAATCAACCGGATACAGAAAGCAAAAAAAGAAAAGAAAAAAAACTGATGGCTTTAGATACATTTTGCTATATACATTAAATAGAAGTACTGTATATGTTATACACTATGTCCTGTTACAGGTAGGCAAAATACTTTTCAAAACTACTTTACCTTCAGTGTTGCAATTATAAGGCCTCATGTACGTGGGACACTTATGAATGATGGAAACTGATTGTTGGAAAATGTAGGTTAAAAAACATCTGTTTAGCTGCGTTTGCATAACGCGTTTATGCTAGTTTGCGTTTAGAAGTTTTTTTTAAGCACAGGAGAACCTCCCAAATGCCCGGAATGCACTGAAAAGTGGTAAATTATTAACTATTTCAGACTGTTTCAGAGAAATACAGAGTAGAAGCAGAGACAGCAGTATGTGTTGACATTAGTTTAGGTGTGAGTAGCTAATTAACATTTTTGTTTCCAAGGGTGGGAGAGGTGTCTGGTGGAGGGAGTCATTAGGGTCACCTGGCAGGGAGTCTTCATGAGGAATTTAAGGTGTGAATGGTCATTAACATATCTTTTGTTTCCAAGGGTGGGAGAGGTCTGAGGTGTGAATTGGTCATTACAATGTGTGACAAGCTTGGTAGGAACATCCTGTGTTCAGTGTTTTGTCCATCTGAGTACCTTGAAAATGCTTTGCATGTATTTTTTCATGATGAAAAAAGGCTCTGGACAGCATCGGGAACTGGAAGAGTTAAAAAAAATTTAAACCACAAATGCTTATAAACGCAATTTGCTGCATTTAGCCGCATTTACAAGCACTTTGTGTTTGAAACGCTGATAAAATCAACTGCTGAACACAAGTTTTCTGCGGTCTCAAAAAATTGACTGTAAACTCAAATACCTGTACAAAGATGTGTACATGGACACAGGAAAACATTAGGGTGAGTTCAGGGTCTGCTGAAATAAAGCTGAACAGCTCCTATACTTGAGTTTATCAGCTGCAGTGTACATGAGCCCTAAGGCTACTCTTTGCCAAGAAAGTCATGCTCAAGGCTGCGCTCAAAAGAATGCCCATGCTCATTGGAATGTGCATGCAACCAGAACAGCCCATACAACTTTGCACAGCATTAGGACCCTGCACACATCTTTATGGCCACGTGCACATAAGTGTTGTGCATGTGCTCATGTGAGTCAGCTTAGAGAGAAAAGAGGCATCAACAGTGAGGCTCTCTGTCCATACATCATACAGCATCAGAGGTTGGTCATCAGCTCTGAGGAAAGGGATTTGTCCCTGAAACGCGTCAGATATTTGACCGCACTGACAATGAGAACACCTTGCCTGCCGTTTTGGCCATTGTCATTTTTCTATGCTTTTTAGATACATGCTTCGTCTGTGAGTATGTTTTTATTATCTCATTCCTACAATAAACCTTAGATAATGCACTAGGTGTGTACGCCACCTGTTTTCTCTCTATCCAGTGGCTGATTTCCCCGTCTGAGGAGGGCTGCACCCCTGGAACATTTCCTTTTGGTTGTCGCTGTCCTGGTACCCTTGGCTTCCCTTTTGGCTGTGCATATCCTGAGGCGCTGGAGAGTACATACGATGTGAGTCAGCTTGTTGATGAACTTTGGTGTCCATATAGGACTCAGGTTCATTGCTGAGTGGTCATCAACTCCTGCCGGTGACCTGATCCAGTGCTCATCTGCGTTCTGACCCAACTTGTTCATCCTGCTTGTTCCTGAACCTCTGTTGACTATGACTTGTGACCCGACCTTGCTTCCTGTCTGATGTTCTGGTACATCGTCTGTTTGCTTGATGCTGACCTTGGCCTGGATTTGACCCCGCTCCTGGCTTTGCACTCCTTCTGCCCGGTTTTTGCTGACCTCTGCCCATCTGACTACGCATTCAAGATCCAGTATCCTCCTACTGCCAGTTGGTCTGCTCCAGCTCTGCATAGGGTTCCAAGATGTTTCGAACTGGATCTCCAGGAGGTGTAGGGGTTGCTCTCTGACCAGCTCAGTCTAAACCAGCTACGTGACACTTCTGTCATATTTATTAACTTTCTTTTTTTAGAATTCTAAAGAAGCATCTTCACGGATCGAGCAGAAGAAGCAAGGTTTTTTCATACCATTGGGTACAACTGCATCTCTCAATCATTTGATAGTGTCACGGTCAGGTTCAGAGACCAGTTGCTATAGCAGTGTTAAGGCTTACCTGAAACCAGCAGGATAGGTACACAGGCAGGTCACCCTGGGAAATGATGCAAGCCGGAAACCAATAGCAGATCAAACAAGTTAAGGATCAAGCAGAAGCGGAGTCAGTCAACAAGCCAAGGGTCGGTCAGAAACGGTAGTAGATGAGGATGAGGTGAAATCGTAGTCCAGAAACAAGCTAAAGGTCAGTAGCAAAGGTTTAGACGGCAGCAGTAGAGACAAGCGGGATATTGGCTGATGAAGGCATAATAATCTGGCAAAGAGGAAATGCTGACTTTGGCTTTTACCAGGAAGTTCATGGCAGGAGCAAGGGGTTCAAGACAAACAGGGCCAAGGCAAGATCATCCAAAGAATTGTCAAGGGAGCTGTCCAGCATTCTAGGTGGCTCAGCAAGAAGAAACATTGCTTCTCACCGCAGAAGGCGCAGGTTTGAATCCAGGCTCTGACAAATAGAACGGTGCTTATGGAAATTGTGTTTCTGAATAAACTATTCAGCAGTATGTTTCTGTCTGATAGCAAACAGTCTGTATGATAAAGGTAACTAATCTAGCCCCATTATTGCTCTTTCCAGTTGTTTTAATATACTGTTCAATGACAAAATTAATAAAATCACTGTTGCTCGTTAAAAGACCTGCCTTGTAAATCACTGAGTTATTAAACACAGTAGTCTCAGCTTGCTGTAAAATCCTGACAAATGAAGAATGGATTGATAGTTAAAAGCACCTTCACACTGGATGCCAGATAATGCTACATTCTGTATTATGCTTAGATCAAGGTTTAGAAAACGAAGAACAAGCCAAATGAGACTGTATGCAAATGTGTCATAAAATGCCTGTTATTAAGTCCTGTAGGTATTAAATTAGATAGTAAACCCATGTTTAACAAATTTTGCTGTATCAGTAGAGAGCAATAATGTCGTATCTGATGTACAACACATTGTCATTCAGCAATAATTCTGAAGGTGCTGCAAGGCAGGAAATGTACATTAGCTACTATTCTTCTTACCTCCCTGACTAACTTCTCTCTACAGAGTCTGAGTTTTATGTAACAGGTTTTATACTATGGTTTAATGGTTTTTAAATGAAATTGAACAAAGTGTGTAAGTTTTATCCCTTAAAGTAATTATTTCAGTGACTATTACTAACAGAATACTTGATTATAGTTGAATTAGTGCATTTGCAATAGAAACAATGAAGTACTGTCCGTGATACTTTTTTAAATTGTTTTAACATCTAAATTTTTCGTGTGAACCTAAAAGAAGCTAAGCCTGGCCATACACTATACAATTTTCTGTCCAATTTCTTTA